GGGGGGCTTCCCTGCGCGCTTCTGGTGCCAGGTTCCCTGTGCCCCGCGGGCGGGGAAACGCCCTGGGAGGGAACGGGCAGGGCGCTGGGAGCCAAGCGACGAAGTCACTCGGACCGAGACTCCATCAGGAGGGTTTGCAGGCGCCTTCTCCGCCTGCGTATCCCGAGGCCGTTGTCTGGCGCCGCTCTTGTGGGGTCGGTGGTAACTTTGCAGGCGGATCGTGGTGGAATTGGACGCGCTTGTCGCTGGAGCGCGCACAAAGGGGTCGAGAGTACCTAGGAGTAAAGGGGGGGACTATGCATAGCCGCTCTCCTCTCTAAGGAAAGTGCATTTGTGCCTAAGCAGCGTCCATATTAGTGCGGTGGGTCCTCTTGCTTCCGTTCATCGTTGGGTATTTCCCGTTGTGTATTTCAGGGGCGCTTTCCTTGTAGAGGATGGACTGAATTTGTAACCCTTCTTGCTCAGCTTTGGGCAACTCATGGTAATAAGGCTTCCACTGTCAGTTCCCGAGCCAGGGGAGCAGAATACAGTACAGTGGACATTTCCCCCCAGGTGGAGTACAGGATGTTGATCTGAGATCAGCAGTTGCTCTTGGAAGAGGACTCTTCCCTGCACTCAGGGGTACTCTTAATACCTCATCTGGAAGGAGCAAATGCAGGATGCAGCTCTGAATCTCAAACATCCCAGAGTTTATGCACATCCACAGACAGGGTTTGGGTTCCGGGGGCATTTTTGTTAGTCACTGATGGGGTGACCCAAAACTTGTAGACATTGAATACAGTCTGCACTGTCACATACTTCTAGCACCACAAGGAGTACCTGCACACCATTTATTGAAATACTTCAGGGGAATAATACTGATAGGTATACAGCCATGTATACACAACTTCCAACTCCATTGGAGCATTCAGATTATATTGGAAGCCACAAATCACCTTTCAGATCACCAGAACCCTGCGAGATGGAATGTATTTATGGTAGATGGAATGTATTTATGGTATTCGGCAAAGTCAGTTCTTTTGGAACAGCTGAGCAGATAGTGAGGAGTCACAGGCTCCATTTTTTTGTAAAAGCCCTTCAGAACTTGTAAACTTGCTGCCACTCCTGAATCTATAAGCCCACAATGAGGTGAGATCCTCAAATAAAGAAATAAGTAAGACACATGGAAAACGGCTCCACCAAGAGGTCATGAAATTCAATTTATTTCCCTAGCTTCTGTTTAAATTGGCAGCTGACTCCAAATGCGGAAGCTAAGCAGGATCCTGAACATATTGTAATGGTCATTTTTTTCTGATATTGCTGCGTCAGTTTCTCATTGTAAATGAGATTGTGTGACTATTTATGTGGGCATTAAAACTTTGTGTGTATACATGAATTTGTGAGCATATCTTTGTGTTATGTTATGTCTATATACAGAAGTGAGGTTGTAACTGTATATGTATGTGTCATGCATGAGTTTGCAAGTGTGTGTATATGAACAAGTGTTTGTACACAAATGGTATAATATATACCATAAACGTGAAAGTGCCGCCCCTGTGATAAACTGCACAGACATGATAAATTTAGTTATCATTCAGCTAGGGCTGCATTACGTGCCCTCGGCCCTCTAATCTATCTCCCCAAGATTCATTCTGACATCCAACCCCTCAACTGTTACCAACAACCTCCTTTTAAAAAAAAAATCCATGTATCACAAGAGTGTTCTTCCTCCAGCCAAAGTACTTCAGCCTGAGGCCTACCACAAGTGAGATTAAGGTCTGAGCCAGTTACAGCCTTTCTGAACATAAACATGTTGCAGTCCAATAGGGCTTGAAATAGGAGCTATTCATCTCTGGGAAAGGGAGATTTCTGTTTATTAATGGGACAGCACAGCACTCATTTCTAGTCCTGCAGAGCCACAAGATATCAGACTTTAAAGCTGCATTGTTTCTGTATAAAAAAGGCATTTTATAATGTATTTAGTGAGCTCTCTCTGAGCCCTATAAGGTTGGACTCATGGTAACTAAGGAATCTGGCTTTATAGGAACACAGAAATACAACAAATAGTCCCAATAAAAAAAATTAAGCACTCTAACATTCCTCTTGTGGGTATGGGTGTGTAATACATGGCATATTCAGAATTCATGTGTCTATTAAGCACTCTAACATTCCTCTTGTGGGTATGGGTGTGTAATACATGGTATATTCAGAATTCATGTGTCTAATAGTGCGGTGTGGAATGAAGGTTCAACTGGCATTAATTTGGGATGACACACATAATTTATTAGGGGTTTTGCCACACTTAGGTATAGGGCACCACATCCCAACTCAGGCTGATAAAATCTATTAATTTATAGTGTGTGTGTGTATTTAATGTAAGCATTTGTGCCTTTAGGAACAGTATTTGTTCACTTATATATGAAAGTTTATGTTAGGTTTGTGTCGGCCACGCATGTAGTGTTATAAACTCCACCTCTCCCTGCTGATTGGTCATTAGTAGCTCACTACCCTTCTCTTCCAAAAAAGAAGAGAAGGGTTCAGGTAACAGGAAAAGGGCAAGTTAGGAAAAGGGCTTTTGTATTACAAGGAAAGCATCACAATATTTCTGCATCCTCAAACAACCTTAGCTTGGCTTCTTTACCCTTCCTGTCTACATCGCAGCCAGTGCAGTTTGCTTAGACTTTGCTTCTTCATTCATGTCACACCCACCTGGTTGGATCAATGAACCTATTACTGATTGTATTATTTTGCTTCCTTCATCTTCAGTTCATACTAAGGAGCTAAATGTTGGCATTGGATGACATTGCAGTTAGATATGGTAGCCCAAATACAACTCTGGTGCTGTAATGGTGTGACTGGGTACTATGTAGTCATGAAAGTATTGTACGCAATCCTGGTGGGGCGGGTGAAAAAAGACTGAATGTATTCTTTGGCTTTCAGGTTTATATTTAAAGAAATAAAGCCATGAATGGTCTGATCCTGTACGCCTTTTATGTATGGGGTTCCCATTAAAGCATGGTAGAGTTATGCAAAGGGTTTACAGGATTGGGCCTATGGAAAAAATGAGATTAGACGTGAAAAATGATGATTATCTGGATTGACTGCACACCATTCTGATTTATATGTGATTTCTAGACATAGCTAAGCAAACTTGCAGTATTTTTGAACTTCCATTATAACAGGTGAGTATACCTATTTGTTGTAGTCAAAGAAGATTCTAATCAAAACATCATTTTAAAATGACAATAACATTGAAATGAATGAAGGAGGAGGCGGGTCTGTAATTCATCACACATGTTATCTGAGCATGATGTCTTGCCTAGGTTTTTAGTACACTATCAATAGCAGTAGTGATATACTTGGGGAGTTAGAGGAGAAGCACAATCTTTTGGTTCTCAGGTTCTGTCAAGTCAAAATGCGTGCCCTTGCTGTATTTTAGTTTAAAATCTGCATGATTTTTGCCAGATTTCAACTCACTTAAAATGGAAATACTGAGAGCAAATCTCTTCTTGATGTCTTTTCATTCATAAAAATAACAGTTCTCTTCCCATCTATAGACCCTTCCTTCTGAGGATTGCATAATACTTTACAAACATGTATTAAGTCTAGCAATCTGTCCTGTGGCATAAGGATAATTTCTTCCATTTTATTGATGAGTAATCTGAAGCCCAGGAAGTTTAAGTGACTTCTCCAAAAAGTAGATGAGGGCTATATCTTGGGAAAGAGCCCAGGAGTTTGGATTTCTACTGTCCTCCTATTCTAGCCACCAGAGCAAGCCCAAGGTACGGGCCAACCAGGCGACTGCCTGGGGTGCCCCATTGTAGGGGGCACCGCGCAGGGCTGCCGGGCCAGGCAAGGGCAGCACCGCACATGCTCCGCGTGCCCGGGGCGGCGCCACACGTGCCAAGCATCCAGGGGTGGGGCCTTGCACGCACAGCACGCCCGGGGGCGGGGCCACGCATGGGCCGCATACCTGGGGCGGGGCAGCACATGCACAGGGAGACCAGAGGCAGAGCCGCACATGCGTTGCACTCCCAGGGTCGGCAGCGCACTCGTGGGGCCCTTCAGCACTTGTGTCAAGAAGTTATC